TGGCAGGTTTCTTTTTATTTACTATTATTATATCTCATACTCTTACCATTTATATAGTATACACAGAAAATTTTAGAATGTATTTTATATATTATTATAGTAGCATATATCTACTATTATTGGGGATATATTTTAGAGCCTTTCTTTGACAGAAATACATAACCAAAAGTTTTTTGGAGACCACCCCTTAGAAAGCTGTGACTCTGACATGCAAGTCCTTGGAGAGAGGAATAAAAAAGAAATGAACAAAGCCTAGAATATTCTCACCTTCTCAGCTAGCCTCAAGGTTAGTCCGTTACCCAAGGTCATGATGACTAATTATTACTTCCATGATTTAATTGAAATCCTCATAGAAACATCGAGGAAACTTATTTAGCTAAGTTGTCCCCCAATGGTTTGTAATTTTTCTTTTATACCTTATCTTGAAGCACACAAGCAAGTTGAATTCACAAGTCAAGGCTTAAAAAACTATCAAGTGATAAAGAGCAAAGCACATTCTGAATTCTGTGCCATCTTTTCTTAGACTGATAAATGGAGTCATAGCCAGCCATTTAAAATTCTTCACATAGGATTATTTTTTTCCTCTGAGAACAATGAAATGCAAATATCATGGGTCATTAATAGCTTGATAAATGTTCCATCTTCAACAAACATGGAAATTAGTGCTATTGGTAGACACCATTTCTGAGATACACCCGCCTCCATAATTAATGAGAGTTTGACTAAATCACTTAGGCCAAAAGTCAGTTTCTTGCTTGCTTTCTGCCATCCTATATCTCTATTCCCCCTTTATTCTCCCTTTTAGGTTCTTCTCTTTGTCGTATAGTTCAGGTTATGGGTAATTCGCATTAATAGAAATATAAAGAAAAATCAGTCCATGGCTCTTGGAAAGGTCTAAATAATAATATTTAACTTGAGAACTACCTGAGGAATACATAAGTAGACATTTTAAAGTAATATTTAAATTTATTACTTTCACATATCTGAACGTAGCCTTTGGGGAAAATTCAAACGACAAGTCCTAAACTAAACAATTTTCCTTTCACACTTTATACTCTGAGTTGCTTAAGAATTCACGCTTATAGCACAAAGAAACCACATTTACAAGATTGCCTCTGTTTTCCCTTCCAATTTACCATCTTGAGCTTTCCTCTGACAGGAGTCCATCTGGGTGCACACGTGAATCTTGCTTCCTCTCGGCTTTTCAATCGCTGTTCGTGAATCTCTTTGGCAGGAATCCAGGATTGCCCTAACTCATATTAAAATCCAGTTTTTAGTAAATTATGTTACACTGAATGTTGTGAGCACTTGAGTGCTACAACTGTGGGAAATTTCTTCAAAAACTATGAAAAAGAGCACGAAAGTGATTGGCCTTTTAACATTAAAAATATGAGAGGCAAGCTGGGCATGATGGCTCATACCTGTAGTTCTAGCACTTTGCAAGGCTGAAGCAGGTGGATTGCTTGAGCTCAGGAGTTGGAGACCAGCCTGAGCAAGAGTGAGACCCATTTTCTACTAAAAATAGAAAAACTAGCCGGGTATCATGCTGGGTACCTATAGTCCTAGGTACTTGGGAGGCTGAGGCAAGAGGATAGGTTAAGCTCAAGAGTTTGAGGTTGCTGTGAGCTACGACACCAAGGCACTCAACCCTGGGGCAACAGAGAGATACTCTATCTCAAAAAACAAAAAATAAACACATACACACCTTTTTGAAGGAAAAAGGAGAGGCTTTAACTAAACTCACACACACATGGTAGCCATAAAACACATAAGTGATTTAAAATAGTGTGCACATGAACTTTACGGTCATCCTGTATAGGAGAGGCAGAAAAACACACAGAAAGAATATAGAATTTGTAGTCAAAAGTGGCTGTCCAGTAACCTTGGACAAGTTACTTAATCTTTCAACCTTATCTGTAAAATGGGAACATATTTATTTACTTTATAGAGTTGTACTGCTTAAGCGAGATAAATAGAAAAAAATCTTACTAGGTGCTAGGACATAGAATTTACTATAGGCAAGGGGAACTTTCTCATCTATCTTTCTAGGGTCTCTGATTGGGTCTAAGAATTAAACCAACATAAGAAAAATGAACAAGAGAAAAGCATACATATTTTATTTTGTAAGTTTTACTTTTGTACTCAGGAGCCTGCACAAGAAAAATGAAGACCCAAAGAAGTAGTTACAGCTGAAACCTTACACACTAAATTGGACAAAATGTAGTCAATTGTGCAAATATGACTAGACAAAGGGGTGTGGGTAAGACAGTTAACTGTGAAAAACTGCTAGATGGATAAGAGTAAGTTTAACACAGTTTGTTTGTACAGATTTCTTGAAGCCTTGACTCCCAGTCTCTAGTAATAGGAATGTCTTCCTCCCTCTTGACACAGGGAAGGTACCTTTCTCATGGAAATTTTATCTCCTGCTTTCAGGAGGAAAAAAGAGGACCAGAGTGCCCTTTGGTCATCTGCTGGTTTTCAAGTGCTTTAACTCTAAAGATCCTAGGTAGCATATTTTGGGGTGGCATGCTCTGAGCCCCTACACTACCTCCTTGGTAATTGTTGATATTATTATTAAAACCGGAACATTGGCTTTGAGTCTGATATATGTGAAGTCTTTCTAAATAAGCCTGGACCACTATAACCTGTAGGAATGGATCAGCAATATCTAAGAAATGAAACTGCGTGAAATAGAAGGATGTTCATCAGACTTTCAAGCATAGTTCAATAAGGGTATTTAAAAAGATTGTAGTGAATTTCCTTGTGCTGTTGAAGGAAAAAGGAGACACTTTAACTAAACTCAATTATTTCTGGTCTGCAAAATGAGTTGGTTACATTAAGGTATCAGAAACTGGTGCCCAATTAGCATTTCAGCCTCTGAGCCATCTAACTCAATAGTTCTCAGCCTAGGCAACTCATTATGATCAACTGGGAAGTTTTTCTTTCTTTTAACAACAAAATATTCTTCCTGGGACCCATCCCTCAGAGATTTTGAGCTGATTGTTCTGGGATAGTCCTAGGTCTCAGTATTTTATAAGATAGTACCTGGGGCATACAGGGTTGTGATCCACTGATATAACCACTTTGTTCTAAATTGATACTTATTAATCATTCTTTTGATTTCTATGCAGACCTCATCCACATCAGCAGTGAGATGACCAAAAGAAATTTACTTTAAGTATTTCCAGGCCTATGGCTGATATTTCCCATGATGAGTCTTTAATGTGACATTTGATTATGGTTTACCATGAAGACTGATGGACCAGTATAAGCCAGTCATGCCAGAATGTATGTTACTGGTCCCCATGATTATTGTAATTTTTTTTTTTTTTTTTGAGACAGAATGAGACTCAGTTGGCCAAGCTAGTGTGCTCTGGCATCAGCCCAGCCCACAGCAACCTCAAAATCTTGGGTTCAAGTGATCATCTTGCTTGAACCTCCAGAGCAGTAGCTGGGACTACAGACAAGTGCCACCATACCTAGCTAATTTTTCTTTCTTTTCTTTTTCTTTCTTTCTTTCTTTCTTTTTTAAGTAGAGATAATGTCTCACTTTGTTCAGGCTAGACTTGAACTCCTAAGCTCAATCAGTCCTCCCACCTCAGTCTCTCAGAGAGCTAGGGTTACAGACGTGAGCCACTGCACCTGGACAATTGTTATAATTCTCACTGTAAGGCAGTAAGTCAACGTTTGGTAGCTCTAACTTAGCTTCCTATTTCCCTCTTTCTTAAGGGAGGAAAATCCTTGAGGTCTGATAAATTTTAATAATAAAATATCTTTCCCTCTTTGTTATTTTTTGGTTCCTTTATCCTCCCTTTTCTTCTTGTTCCTTCTTGAATTGTTTAGTCTAAAAGCTATTAGAAACAAACAAGTCAGGTACACATAGCGGAGACACAAGTGCCGGGTGTTGGAGTCCAAGTGAGGGGAAGAAACAATTTCAACACAGGGTGGCCAGCAGACAGTGGCTGAGAGAAGGTGTCAGAACCCAAGCAGAGTTAGGAGGATTCCACATGGGCAGGAGTTGGGAGGGGTTACAGGCAGCACATGAATTGTTAGAGCCTGTGTTAGGTAAGGGAAGCATCTCCATCCCCATAGGTTGGTGAGCCATAGTGAATGAGGAGGATATTCATGCTGATGGGACCCAGCAAATGATCTGATAGCCTGAGCAGGGTAAGTAGGGCATCTGTTATGGGAGTAAGAGAGTGGTGGCCAAGAGAAATTGGTTATACATAGGGATTGTTCAAATAAGTAAATATATCAAGGATCATAAGAGCTAAGTTGATCACTGTCAGATAGGAAAATTACAAATATGGAAAAGGGGAAAATAATAATAATCCTTATCCTTGTGATGTTGACTTGGAACTGGAGATATTGGAGTGCATGATAGTTAACATTATGGATAGATAAGGAGATATATAAATGTCTGTATGCATCCTATGGTTTGAAGGGCTCCCTCAAAGATTCAGATGCTGATGATGTGCTTATTAAGAGATGGTTAGCCCATGAGGGCACCTCCCTCATGAGTGAGATTAAGGCCTTTAAAATAAACAAACAAAAAAGAGGCTCCACGCAACATTAAGCTAACTTGCCCTCCTGCCTTCTGCTATGTAAGGACAAAACAAGAAGGCCCTTCCCAGACCAGATGCCAGAGCCTGCTGGTGTTCCAGAACTGTGGGGAGTAAATTTCTATTCTTCTGTGGAATTCTGTTATAGCAGCACAAACAGACGAGGTGAACGCACTTGAACACACATCTATACACTGCATCCACATACATGCACACACATGTTCTTTTATTATTGAAAGTAATCAGACCTCAAGGAATTTCCTCCTTTAAGAAAAATGGAAATAGGAAATTAATCTAGACCTACAGAGTTTTGCTTACTGCCTTACAATAAGAATTATAACAATTGGCCAGGCACGGTGGCTCATCCCTGTAGTCCTAGCACTACAGGCATGAGCCTGAGGAGGGAGGACTCTGTAGTTCTGCTCACTTAGAACATCCTGTGCTTGCTTCAGAAGCACAGTATAGTAAAATTGGAATGATATAGAGAGGATTAGCATGGCCCCTGTGCAAGGATAACATGCAAATTTGTGAAGTGTTCCATATTTTTGGTAGGGAAGAAGGGTGGGTGAGTGGAGGAAGGGTAATCAGTGGGACCTCACCTATTATGCACATTGCAAGGGTACATGTCAAATATATTAATAGTAGACTATAAATGTCTAAACACAACAATTACATAAGTGAGGTGTATGATACGTTAACCAGTTTGATGTAAACATTCCAAATCGTATATAAAACCAGCACATTGTACCACATAAATGCTGTAATGTACACAGTTATGATCTAATTAAAAAATAACAACAACAACATATCTGTAGTTATCAGGGCATGTAGCATATGCTCAAATCTTGGTTCTTCATATAATTTTCCATTAAAAGAAAGCAGGGCTGCTTGGATGAATGCCTGGTTCCAGGGATGAGACGGAGAAAATACAAGAACTTAGAATATCTTTTGATAGGAAGTAAGGAAGTCCCCAAATAATGATGGGCATGTCAAAGACACACAGAAACTAGACTTCAAAAGTTTCCCTGGGCAAAGCTGAGAAATCTGTTTTCCTTGAAATAAAAGGAAACACTGAGTTCATAATGCTATAAATAAACAAGAGTTGGATAAGAAACGAGCTATTTGCATAATCCTAAAGTATTTCCCACAAAATCCCTATTGATTTCAAAGAGAAAATGAGTGATTTTGTCCACTGAAAAACCTAGTGGCTATCACATTAATCAAATGATTACAGCTGATATCACCAATAAAGAGACAAAGCAAAATTGTATCAGCTGACAGTGCAATGAACAGAATACAGCAACTCACCTGAGATATTCCTTTGAAAAAGTCATATCATGGGCCTCATCATAAGGAAACATCAGATAAAACCACACTGAGGAATACTGTGTGAAATAACTGGCCTGTAGTCATCACAATCATCAAGGAAAAACGGAAGAACAATTTCTGAATGGAGGAGAAAAGAAAGACTTGGAGATGAAATGTGATGTTTTTTCTGAACTGAATCCTTTTAGCCATGAGGACTTTATGACAAAACTGGACTGTGGTCTGCAGATTACAAGGTAGTTCTCTGTCAATGATAACTTCCCTGATGTTGTTGAGCGCATTGTGCTTATACACAAGACTGTCCTTGTTTGTAGGAAATCCACACTAGCTTAGTGGTGATAGGGTGGAAGGACAAAAGGCATCATGTTGGCAACTTGCCTCAGAGGGTTCCCAACAAAACATTCCTGGCAATGTCTCTGCAAATTTTCTGTAGCTTAAGATTATTTAAAGACAAATCAAAAGACTAATATCTGGTCCTTCAATGGAGAAAATCAGATTCTGAAAGATAATTCCCAGTGGGGATTTCTATCTTTTAGCCAGTTTTCCTTTAGAGATAAAATTAGCATTTGGAACTTCTTGGTTACTCTCTATTTACCTCCCTTGACATAATTCCCTTATTACTCTCCCTCCTCAACTTGAACTGCGAGATCCTACTTGTCTTGCTGTTAAGTGTTGTTTTATGGCTCTCTATTCAAAAGTGCCTCACACACTTACAAATCGGAAATCACACAATACATTTCACCAGTAAACTGCATGTGAAGTGTTTGTGTCATACAGCCAAGTGTGCATTATAGCGTTCAGGGTTTGTTCAAAAGCCGAATATTTGGGAAGCAAAGGATAGTGACAACAATCTTAGAGGTTCAGTAAGATCCTATTTAGAACAAAATAGAAGCTCCTTGAAAGCTTTATTTACCTTTCAATCATCAGTGCATACAATAGTAGTCGGCACGAAATATTGGTGCTCAACCAATGTTAGTTGAATGCATGCATCGAGGAAGAAATTTTCTTAGCATTTCTGAATATCATCTTTTATCACACTAATAGACTAAAATAGAATGTCTATAAAATAAGTTCTACTTTTAAAACTTAATTATGTATGACCCTTGATATTGCAGCTAGGATTTGTATTATCCAGTCAGGCATTAAGAAGATTGCCCTCAGCTAAGACTGAGAGTCTCATAAACACAGCTCATAAACCAGCTATATTTTTTAACAAGCCATTTTGAATTCTCTGGGATACAACTTTCTCAGAGTTCTTCAGTATGTAGAGAAGATTAGCTTAGATGTTTGAAGATTTTTTTTTTTCTGCTATGAAGTCTGGATTCTATGATACTTTGAAGATACAGAGCTATAGTCACTGAAATTGTAAATTTGGAACAAAATTATCCCATCATTAAAACTATTCTAAGGAAGAACCTGACTTAATACAGTGATAGAATGATCCTTCCTAACAACAATAAGGATAAAAATATATTCAATTGCCTTGATTGACCAGACTGATGTGTATCCCCTAGAGTGCTGTGTGGAATTCACTAGCTGGTCTTTCATATGGCCTCAAACTGTCTGTAAGAGATACACAACAGTTACCCTGTTGGTAATGATAATGGTTATGTTAGAATAAGATGGTAACAATAAGATGGGTAAGAATCAAATTATATGAACGAATTGTGATCCTACTTTCTGAAATATTTGAAAGATTGTTTAACAACTCTTGAAGAACTCTGGGCTTGTGGACAACAGAAAATACCCAAATAATGTCAATATAAGTTTAATTTTTAGTTCTAAAACTAGCTGCTCTGCCATTTCTTTTATATCACAATTCCAATACAGGAAATGAGAATGTCCCACTTCCAATCACCTTTTTTAAGCACTAATTATGACACAGCCACTCCAGCTATACAAAGTGTAAAGACTCACTGCTCTTAATTGGGTTTTCCCAAAAGTATTCTATAAGGCAAGGACTTGGGTGCAGATAATATTTGGAAGGTGATCCCAGGAAACACAGGTAGAGGACAGGGGAAAGTGACATAGTTGGAAAAGCCAGCTGTGTGTATATTTATGAATGGGTTATTGCTGTAGGCAGTTGGTACTCAGTCCTACTGGGGACACTTTGAAGACTCGTGTAGAACACACTTCAAAATTGTCTCAGTAATGAACAAAAGAGTTGAGTCTGGCATATTTTCTCTTTCTTTCTTGAGATGGAGCCTCAAGCGGTCCCCCTTGGTAAAGTGCTGTGGCATCACAGCTCACAGCAACCTCCAACTCCTGGGCTCAAGGGAGACTTCTGCCTCAGCCTCCCAAGTAGCTGGGACCACAGGAGCCCACCACAACACCCGGCTATTTTTTTTTTTTTTTTTTTTTTGGTTGCAGCCGTCATTGTTGTTTGGCGGGCCCAGGCTGGATTCAAACTCACCACCTTAGGTGTATGTGGCTGGTGCCTTAGCCACTTGAGCCACAGGCGCCGAGCCCACATTTTCTTTTTCTAACATGACCATACCAATTTCTTTTATTAAAATACTCTTCTTACCATGTGACTTTGTTACTCATCTACTTAAGAGCTCAGGTCTACAACACACATCTCTAAATAAAGATGAACGTGAGACACCAGTGAAGTAATGCTATACAACCTCAGAGACTGCAATGTAAAGGGAAATACATCTTCTTCCAGTTTCTCTTGGAATGGTCACTCCTCAAACACAGCCTCCATGTTGTGAGGAAGGCAAAAATTCATGGGCATTATACATGCAGATATTCTAGCCATAAACCCCAGAAGAGGACCCAGCTACACCGGTACTGACTGCCAGAAAAGTGAATGAGCACGCCTTCTGATGAGCCTCACTCTCAGTCCTCAGGTCACCCCAGACCTTTGCATCTTCTCAAATCAGACCTAAGCATCAAGGAGCAGAGACAAGTTGTCCTTACTTTACTCTTTCCAAATTCCTGACTCCCAGAATTGTGAGTTCTCTGGCAAAATCAACATTGCTGTATGTCTCTATGTTTGGAATATTTTGTTATGCAGAAGTAGAAAAACAGACCTGGGCATTTATCCACCAATATCCAGCCCTCATTAGTAGTCATGAAGCATTAAGTCTCTAGGACATTTGGGCTGCCCTGCGTAGCTGAGCAAATTCCAGTGGGTAGTGAATTAGAGAGATTTGGGCACTTGAATTGGGAAGCTTTCAGGGTGCAGAGTCCTGTTCCATGAAGCTGTAGGCGATTGCTGAGGTAGACTAAGGACACAGGGCAGAGCGACCCAGCATCTATCTCACCTGTGGTCAAAGTGCTTATATTATAAAGTGAACATGTAAACTGACACAGTGTAATATGCTACACCCGAAGACAGAGTTAGCACATTCTCCCTGGAAGCTCAAAGGAAAGCCTCCTACTGCAGATCTTGAAGTATGGGAAGGGCTTCCAAAAAGAACAACTGAGTCCTTCAGTCTCTCCCATATCAATATGCCAAACCCCTTGGAGTAAAGTATTTTATAAAGATATTAGTTTTTAGGACAGCATTATGTTGGTCTACAAATAAAAGCTTGATAGGTTACAATTAAGCACAGGACAACTACTGGCTTCCTTTTCTTAGAAAATCATGTCTCAGCCTGCATGAAGTTGATTTGATAATCTGACTATTCTTAAAATGGAGAGGGACGCTCTTGATTTTTAGTGACTAAGAGAAGATAACATGCTTTCTCATAGTATATGTTATACATTCTTGTTTAGTTCAAATGATATAATTCTCCAAAAAAAGAAGAAAGAAAGGCAAAGAGAAAAATGTCATTATCCATCTAAATATGACGGTTTCTCTCACTCTCCTCTTTCTTTCTTTCTCTCTTTACTTTTTTTTTTCTTTTTTTTTTTGAAACAGAGTCTTTCTCTGCCTCCCTGGGTAGAGTGCTGTTGCATCATAGCTCATAGCATCCTCAAATTTTTGGCCTCAAACAATCCTCTTACCTCAGCCTCCCAAGCAGCTGGGACTACAGGCTTCCACCACAGTACAGGGCTGGTCTTTCTTTTCTATTTCTTTTTCTAGTACAGACTGGGTCTTACTCTCACTAAGGCTGCTCTTGAATTCTTGAGCTCAAGCAATCCACCTGCCTCAGCCTCCCAAAGTGCTAGGATTATAGGAGTGAGCCACCAGGCCTGGCATGAGAGTTTTTTTAAGTACTACTTTCTTTAACCAAAACTCTGACATCCCATATGTCATTTTTTCTTGATAAT